GGACAAATTGAATGCAGCGGTCAAGGAAAAGCGACCAGAATTGGTCGATCGTAAAGGTGTCATTTTCCAGCAGGACAATGCTAGGCCGCACACGTCTTTGTCCACTCGGCAAAAATTGATGGATATTGGTTGGGAATCGATGTTACACCCACCATATAGCCCTGATCTCGCGCCATCGGATTACCACTTATTTCGATCCCCGGACAACTCCCTTCGTGGTAAAACTTTTAACGACGATGACGCTGTAAAATCTCACTTAACTCAGTTTTCGGCCGAAAAGGATCAGACTTTCTACGAGCGTGGAATTTTCAAGTTGCCAGAGAGATGGCGAAAGGTCATCGAACAAAATGGAAAATACATTACAGATTAAACTACATTCCAAGTAAAAAAAAATTTTTTATTTCATTGAACAAATCGGCAATTACTTAGTTGCCAACCCAATAGAAACGAAGCGAGTCTGAAAAATGCAAACAAATGAAACGAGTTCACGTGATGCAAAAGTGGAGTAACGCGAGAATAGAATGAATCTAAACAGTACGAGAATGAAGCGAATCCGAGGCACCCAAAAACGGAGCTAGTCGAAGGAAACTAAGTGCTGAGAAAAACGATCTCCCCAAAGCCGGTAGCCGCTTGTCCCAGAACGTTATTCGATCCTGAATCGGTCGGAAAAGGCGGCGAGAACCGGCCGAGTCCTGCAGGACGTAGCGAAACCGCGACAGGAAAGATACGCAACTATATTCAGCAGAATGTAACGCAGGAAGGGCATGAGAATGACGTCTGACACGGGGTACGTCGGGATCCCACCTAGTCAGATTTCACCGTCAAAAATGCCGACGGCGTATTTGCTCGTTCCGCCACGGCGCGGCCTCCGGAGACCACCCGTGTTGCCCGCTATCAAGGAGGTTCTCAACCTGCCGCGCGCAGGCGGGAAATCCTCTGCGCGGACGCTGGCCGTACGGTCGCGCCGGTCCCTCGGCGGCCTGATCGCCGGCGGAGAACCAGCTGGCGGAGAGTCAACGGGCGGTCTTTCGAGTCGATATTCAGGGAT